AATTTGTTTTGAAAAATTTGAAAAAAACAGCTTATTTGTGTAAGTAGGTACCCTTCTTACAATGACAATGAACCCTCAAAAAAATAAAAGTTCCCGGGAATTTTTTAATTTAGTGATTTTTTTTATGTTCACGGAAATTTTTGTACTAAAATTGTACACCTTTTTGTGCCCTAGTCAATAAGTAGGGAATTAACTTGGAAATTAGTAAAATTAGGGTAATTAGTAGGGAATTAGTGGAATTACTAGGTATTTTTTAAATTAAAATGGAATTATAATATATAAGGGGAATTAGTAAGGAAATAGAGGAATTAGTAGCAATCCTGGGAATTTGTGTACACATTTTCTTTTGCGGTTTACCCCGAGGGGTAAACCGCAGGGGAATTTTGGTGTACAATCTGTAGGAATTAGTAAGGAATTAGAGGAATTTGTGGAAAATTAAAGGAATTAGTGGGGAATTTGGGGAAATACTCGGTAAATTAGTAAGCAAATAGTGGAATTGGTGGGGAATTAGAAAGAAATTAGAAGAAAATTTATGTCTCGTTTAGCACTTGAATATAAAGAAAAAAACCCGGAAGTTACAGAGCTACTCCATTCTTTGCCAGTTCCAGATTGGGAGTAGTACCACTGCAGCATTGAAAAAATGAAGAATGTTGTGTACAGCACACCACCCATATTTTAACAAAAATTAGTACTCGTTTCCTAAAGCCAGGAATACATCTGCCAATTGGGAAATACACTGTCTTCTCTGGTCATCTCAGGGAATAAATTTTAAAGTTTCCAAAAGACAAACATCTCCTGACAGATTCGGATCTCAAAAGTGAAGACAAGATGAATTTTGCATCCGCAGAAAAAATGTGCAGTTTGATAGTAATTGAACGACTAAATAAGGAAATTCCACAAATTAAATAGAGCGTGGCGTATCTCAAGCTAATGTACTACATCGAATCGTCGTTCTTAAATTCCAGCACTGTGTTGCATACTAGATTATATCGCATCTGGTATGTTGTATTTTTTACTAGAATCTGGAAAGCCTGGATTAAAGAACAAAAAGAATATAAAATAACAGACAACTTTTTGACCAGTAACTGTAACCTTTGCATCGAAACGCCCATGCTTTGATTAAACTAATACTGAAGCCTAACAGCGGTGAGTTAAAACCAGATATGTTCATCACCGGCATTTTTGGTAGCCAAGCATGTAAATCCTTATTTCGGGCTGCCAGATCCATGACTTTTACGTATTCAACAATAATACATTTTAGTATAAAGGATATGCTGAACCGAATTGAGAGAATTAAGACAACTGATACCATAAACAATCTGAGGGGGACTTTTACATTTCCAAGGTAAGACAAAAGATTAAAAACCAGACTAATAAAAGAAAATTTACCACGTGAAGAAGAAATTTTAAATTTGGATATCAAATCTACAGTTAAAAAAGCTCTACAAAATGTCATAGAGGACATGAAACATCTTGGAATTAATGAAAAAGAAAACGATTGGAAATATATGCAGGTAAGTACCGTTAACCGTTAATAAGACGGAAACAAAATATTGTAATAGTGTAATTACACAGGATAATGAAGACGCCGACGAAGACAACGCTAATATTGTCGAAAACCCCGAACAAAATTGGCAAAAACAAATATTAGTAATGAGGACGATAAAGTTATGGATGGAGTTATGGACTTAATTTCGAACGAGATTTCTAATGAAGATCGCTAATGTGATACTTTGGAAACGAGTTGTATAAGTTTAAAAGTGCACAGTGAATCGGAAAAATCACCGTACCTATATAATATTATATATTCAATTATTAAAAAATCATCGTACTGCTGGCTTTTAGATCAGTCCGACGGTAGAGTAAGTACTGGCCGATTAAAAAGATTTATGGGCAGTACAAGGAAAACACCGAAGAAAACACCTTGCAAAAATTCAAAGTCGACCTTGACTATAAACAGAAGCTATGCATGGATCAAGCTAGTAGCACAAGCACTGTATCCTCCTCCGACTCTATCGTGATGGAACTCGACGACTCCGAAGATTTGGAGGAGTTTTCAGATGAGATCTTGTCGTATAAATCAGAAAATGTATCGAAATTTGCCGGACTCGAGTTACACTTAGAAAACTATTATGCGGTTTTCTATTACCAATCGTGAGCTTTGCTGCACGAGCGAGGCGAATGTAGAACACACTATTTAGAAATGGCCGCCTTTCACCACGAAATATGTACACTATTTTTTATGACAAAATTAAAATTCGACTTTCGCTGCCCTTTAAGAGAGAAAAATTGTTAATATTTAAGTTAATTCATAAACAAAAATATACCAAACTAAAGACAATAATTGGCTTAATTAATAATATTAATTATTAAAGAACTTATGTTAAGCGAAAGTCGAATTTATGCTGCTAGTGTCATGAAAAAGCATTGATTAATATAATACTTTTCTTTACGATTTTTCAAATGTGCTTAATAAAAGTGTTGCTGGGTAAAAAAGTTTTGCTAACCAGAAAACGTATACTTTTCTTTACTATTTCTCTTAGTAAAGTAAGTATGCTATTTTTCATTAAGAATACGAACAAATATACCCTTCAAAAAGAATTACTATAATATTAATGGTAATTATTTATGTTAAAATGTATAGCAAGAAAAAAATAGAAACTAAAACCTTGAAGGTTTAAAAAAATAATAGGGATATTTAAAATTTAATATAAAATTAATTAAAACTTTTTAAACCTCACATTTCTAATACAGACATTATTTTATAAACATGCAAAATATCAATATTAAAAATTACATAGAAGAAAAATCACATGTTAAAAATTCATTTATATCTTATTAAAGTTGACTCGCTAAATACCGTATTTCTAGGAGACGCAATAAGGTCGCGAAATGTAATGACGCCATATTGTATTACGGATATATATATATATACATAAATATACATCCTTAGTACAATATTGCGTCATTACAATTTGGCAACACTGTAGGACGCAATAAAGTCTGTACAAGCCATATAAAATTTAAAATGAAATATACACGTGACGCAATATTATATCAAGATTAAAATGAGTTGATAATGTAGTGACTTTTGAAAAAAAAGTGTATATCTTATTTTTTAAGATAAAAAAAATCTGACCAGATTTTTGGAATCAGCAAAAAACAGTACGCAATATACTCTTCTATATTTTCGCTAAATACCGTATTTCTAGTAGACGCAATAAGGTCGCGAATTGTAATGACGCAATATTGTATTAGGGATGTATATATAATATAAATTGTATTAAATGTTAGGTATGTTTTTGCCTATCTTCTGGCCGACCCCTCGAGTGGTCGTTACAGAAGGACCAAATCAGCAAGGTAAAGTTCCTATTTTAAAAATAAACATTAAAAAGAGCATGTAAAAACCTAGATAAGAAAGTATATTTTAGGCAGTTTCGTTTTGCTGTTTGGAGAGAATAGTTGAATCCTTTTATTGTTGTAAGGGAGTGAATTTAACTCTTGAATAACCAAGTTCAATGTTAAAATATAAAATCGGTTTGTGTTATAAATAGTGGTATAATAACTATAGTTATTATAATATATTATATAGTTATTATAATATATTATATTATATAGGTATAGGTATATTATATTATATAGGTATAGGTATATTTATATTATATTATATTATATTATATAGGTAAAGGTATATATATTATATAGGTATAGGTATATTTTTACTTTTATAATCTCAATATCATAATGAGTGGTTTATTATTTAATATTTAATTTAAACTATATTTTATTATTATTTCAGCTTGTTCTTTGTAAAAGAAGGAATATGCTGAACTTTGTATCTTAATGGTTGTGGTTGGACAAACCAAATTACAAATTTATTATAATTATTATTTTATCTTTATAATTATTATGTTTTATTACATTTTACTACATATTTCTATTTAATATGTACATACTTTATTTTGTACAGTTTATATTATTTTATTTATTTGATAAATTGATATTTTTTATTTATTATGTTGAGACCTGGTTTCAATTTCTGCACAACAAATACTCGTTAAAATTTTCTTTCTATTATTTAACCCATTTTTACAAAGAATATTAGGTAGGGCCCATTATGTGAGTTTTTGTTACATTGTCTTATTTTAAAATTATTGATAATCATTTTATATTACTATATTTGAGTTGCATTGACATTATTTTATTACTTTACCTACTTGATACCTGATTATGTTTGTTATTTATGACTGTACAATTAAATTGCATTACCGTTGTCCACTACTATACCACTTGTTATTTATATATTTTATTTACCATTTATTATTGTTTGTGATCCAAGTTATATTATACTTTATGTTTAATATTATTGTTTTTGGTTCTCTACATTGATAATTGTTTCAATTTGTATTTGCTTTTCTACACCGTCCGAGCCTATTATTTATGTAGGTGAATAATCTTATTAGGTATATTCATATTAATTACTTTGATTTTGTTTTATTATGTATATTGTTGAGATGTAAGACACATATGCATGTCTGGATTGTATATGTGGATTTTTAAGGTATTACCTTATTAACTTAATCGATGATACTTTTCAAAATGTTTTTATTTATATTATTTATGTACAGTAGAAATAATATTTACTCTTGTGTAAATTGCCTATATGATAAACTTATTTTAATTTAATACTTTTTTTTGCTTTTAAATATCTTTTTAATTGCTAAAGTATATCTTTACCCCAGAGCCGGACTGTATTTAGTCACTTTTTTGAAATCACATAACATATTTTTTTTCAACAATTTCCCGCTCTTTTAAACAGCCATGAGTCCTGGTTCATTTACTTTTTTAATATATAAAAAACTAATTAAGCCAGGACTTAATCCTGTTTACCACTGGAAAGAGCGGAAAGACATATGTTTTTTGAAATTTGCAATTTTTCTCAAGAAAATGATTTCCAACCCCCGAATAAAGAACACGCTGAACTTCCAGTTGTGCCTCACCTGATTGACTTTCAGTGACCGTCGGCGGGGTTGTCGATCCCGCCCCGTCTCTTGGCGGTCTTGAAGTCGCCGCTTCCGTCGTCGTCAGCCGCCGCAGACCGTCTAACAGATGGGAGGCGGCGACTCTTCCTGCTGTCTCCCGCGTCGGCACTAACCGAGACGACTCCACCGTCGGCGTCGTCGATGTTGCAGCAGGGTTTAATGTTCCTGCTGACAGCGGGCGATTTGTCGTTCCTGCGAGGCTTGTTGTTGTCGTGGATTGTACGGTCGAGACCGTCGAAACAAACGAAGTTTTTGGGGTGGATTTAATCTGAAAAAATAGGCAGGATATGTAGGATTTTGCTAATGTAGCAGTTACGATTTTAAGAAGATGTTTTTACGACGAAAAATATGCAAAAGTTTTTTTTATAAACCCTAAATATATAGGGTATCCAAAAAATTACACTCATTAAAAAATATTTAATAATTATAATAGCATTTAACCCGTAACCGGTACTGTGGTGTCTGGGAGACACTCATCAACTAACAAAGCGCTGTCACACCCTCACCTTTTGTTTTAAAAATCTGTCGCTTCCAATACTTTTAAGTTAAGCAGTTATCAATATGCTCTCAGACTTTGAACAAGTTGGATTGTCAAACGGACAAATTATTACGAGTCAAAGTGTTGAGGTGTCTAGTAGACCACTGTGTACCGTTTACGTAATTTTTATAAAACAATTAATTCCTTATGGATTCGCAACAAGGGCCTTCTAAAAGTGTCCAAAGTGATAAGAAGGGCTTCAAGGAAACTGTAATTTAGTAGTTTTATAAAATCGACAGCGATATAAGTGATATAGATGACTGTAGTATATTACATAACCATTATAGTGATTATGTCGTTGAAGATTCAGGACTTGTCTGTGAAGAGTCTATAGAAAATTTATATAAGGTCAGATAGTGAAGAATTTGAAATTTTTTAGGAATTTGAAAAAAAACAAAAAAGTTACTACGGAAAAAATAATTGTAAAAATCAGCTATAGTTTGAAGCAGTTATTTTTGCTGTTAAAAAAGATATATTTGAATTTTTTTTTTATGTTATTTTTTAAGGTATATTCTTCCAAATAAAGATCGGTTTATTTTGTTTGGTTTAATATTTTTTATAGTTTGATCACAAAGTTTGCACTACTGCACTTTTTGTACATGTTTTGATTAAAACCTATTTGTTTAAATTTTTCTTTTATTTAGGTATTATTTTTGGTGATATTCTAACTTTATATATAGTTCCTAGTATCCCCAAAGCCTTAGATAAAAAAATAATATAAATTATAATTTTAAAACGCAGGTGTCTCTCAGACCCCTTAGTACCGTTTATGAGCTGAAAGTCGTAGAGTACAGGTTACGGGTTAAATTTATTTTATACAGCACTATTAAAAATCACAATTGAATTTGTCAGAGCTATAGATAATTCTGATATTACTTTATTGGTACTACTGGACTATAGCAAGGCTTTTGATGTGGTCAATCATAATTTGCTATTGGCCAAACTGCCTTATTAAAATTTAGAAATTATCTCAACAACCGAGTCCAATATGTAGAAATTAATGGCAAAGTGTCGTCTTGTCGAACCTGTCTAAAAGCTCATTCACATCCACTTAATAAGCCTAACTTAACTTAACTTAACTTAAGAAACCTACGTCTGTTAAGTTGTCTGTTCACATTAACTTAACACACGCAAAGAACGGAATATACAAGCAAGCGCAATGTATCCATCGATGTAGACTAGGTTGCCTATCTATCTATAAAACTGAAACAACAAGATAGCGCTATATCGTTTTACTGGGCATGTGATTGGCTCACGTATGAAACGTATTCCCGTAAGTTTAGCCGGAACTTTTGAATACGTTAAGTTACGTTTGATAAGTTTTCTACGAATGTAAACAGCTGCATCGGTTTCAATGTATTTTAACTTACGTCTCTCACGTAAGTTAAGTCAAGTTACGCTTATTAAGTGGATGCCAATGAGCTTTAAGGAAGCATACTGGGTCCCTTACTCTTTTCAGTATTTACTGCTGATCTGTGTGAGGAGATAAAATATTGTTGTGTAAGTGCATCACTATGCAGATGATATACAAATCACATATCAAGTACTCCAGCCTCTATCAACTCTGCAGTGACACTATTAAATGAAGATATTTAACAAATTAGTTTATCATCCTCCAGAAATGGTCTTCTTAAACAAAACAAGACTGTCAGCATTTGCATTGGGTCAGATATGGCTAGAATTAAAGCTTTAGTTTTTAAAACATGTGATAAACAAGAAAATGAATCTGTGATACAATTTCAAAACTGTGTTAAAAGCCTAGGTGTTTTAATTGATTGTGATTTAAGTTTTGAAAAATATTTTAAAGAATGCTTATTTTAAGTTTAAGTCCATCTACAATTTTAAATTATTTCTGTGAAGTGATGTTTAATTACTGTAGTATTGTTTATTTTACTTTAGCAACTAAATTAACAGTCTAAAACTCAAAAAATTCAAAACTCTTGTCAGGGATATGCTTATAACAGCTATAGGGATCACTTAAGTAAACACTATATAAGACCTAATATGCTTAAATGTAATAACCTATTTTATAGTCAATAAGTTTTAATTATTTATTTAATTTACAAATGTGCCAATATTCTTGTCTTTTAATCTATAGGAGTCAGTGCCATAATGTTACATACTGTGCCTGCTTACAAAACTAGTAAATTAAAAAACTGTTTTGAATATATAATAATAATAATAATAATAATAATAGTAATAATAATAATAATAATAATAATAATAATAATAATAATAATAATAATAATAATAATAATAATAATAATAATAATAATAATAATAATAATAATAATAATAATAATAATAATAATAATAATAATAATAATAATAATAATAATAATAATAATAATAATAATAATAATATTTATTCAACATCAACAGGCGATGCCCAATTACCTACAGATGAGGATAAAATACCAATAAATTTAATATTACATTAAGTCACAAAAAGAAAATAATTAGCTTTTTTAGTAGGTATATTTTTACATTTAATCTATTATTTATATTTAGACCAATAATTTTTTTTCTAAAAACTTAAAAATTAACATAAACAAGTCTATTTTACTCGAAATCAGGTTACCCTAGCAGCTGAAGAGATACAAGGGTAATATCATAATATGATAATCATATACATATTTACTCTTGAGCTTGCGAGCTCCCAAGGGATGGAAAATATACCATACTTTTAGTTAAATTGTTTACTTTAAATTTTGTGTGATAATAAGTAACTATTATGATAATAGTATTATCTAATTCGTTACGTAGCAACTTGTATAATGTAAATATGATGGCTGTAATCCTTCTTGATTTCAACATTCTGTATAGGTAAATATTGCATAAGTCTGAATAGTCAGCAAAATTGCCATAAACACCATCCTCCTTATATTTAAGATATTTTAAGGACCTTTATTGAACTTCTTCCACTGCATTAATATAACAACTATAATTATATTATATGGCTTCCACCAAAGACATCAAACCCATTTGATGTCTTTGGCTTCCACTGCATTAATATAACAACTATAATTATATTATATGGCTTCCACAATCTTTAATACTGTAAAATTATTTCAACAAAGTAACCCAGCTATATCTCTTAAGCTTAAACTAAAAAAACACATGTTTAATGTTTAACGTTTAAGTCTTAATTTGTAAACTTTTATGTTGATTAGGTTGAAGTCTGAGAACAGAGTAAGCTAAACTTCCACCTTTTGTATATATATTGATATACAATAAAAATTTTTATTATTATTATTACATATAATTTTAAAAATTATTCCTAAAAATTGTTTTTATTTTTTTTATTTAAAACAAATATAAAATTAAAACATTTACAGCAGCAATATTTATTTTTCAAATTTAAAATCAATTGGCTATTGCTAAAAATTTAAAACAATTAACTTTTAATTATAATTATAGTTATAACCTGTACACTATAGTGTATATATATATATACAGCATATAGGCATATTAAAAAATGTTTAATATGCTCTGACAATATTTTATTTAAATATTTATTTGTCAAATCCAATATAATTTTTCCAGTGCAAAAGAATATTTTTATACGAGTATACCTAGGTAACAAGAGTTGAAGGGCATGTTGTTTTAGGATAAGGTTATAAAAATAGGATATGATATCTTCAAATCATTTTAGGCCATAACTTAATATTTTATTTTTAGACAATGTTTTTTTTTCAATTTTAAGTGTTTTTTATTTGCCTTTTTTATAATAGGTATTTTCAGAAACTTATTTGGACATAACTTTATTATAATTAAACTCTGGGAACCGAACATCATACATACATAATTTTGATAAATTGTTTGTTTTATCGTATCGATTTTATATCAAATATATTGTCCGTCTTTTAAAAAACAACTTTGAAATGGAGTTGGCTTTTCTGACATACAATTTGTAGATAAAATGTTTACAATAAGTTCTGTTTTTTAAATTATTATTATTTACTCTAGAATATGAGCTTTTTAATTTTAATTGTTTATGACATTGAATTCAACTATTGTTAATATAAAAAATGGACTTTGTCTAAGCCACTTATAAATTTATTCTCCATGGAACCCTGTTCCTAGGGAAACATAATATTATATTTGATAATTTTTACATATACAAAATTTATACTTGTACTTGTACTTGTACTTTGTCAACGATTATTAATAAATTGATTTATACATTTCCAACAAATCGGTTTGCTGTTAAATGGTCCTTCGAATCCTTTGTATTGGAGTAAATTGGGAAGATCTTTCTAGTGAAAATTTAAGTTTGTCCCTGAGATGTACGGGTGCGCCGTAGATGTTATTTGTAGCCAGTTTTTTATCGTGTAAAAAACTTCTCTTAAATTAAAAATATCTTTTGGCTGAACATTTTTTCTGACTGAGTACGGTTGCGTTTATTTGGATTTAATTTAGATTCGTATATTGTTAAATATCAAATTGCTTTATTTAAAGTGACAGAATTGATATAATCATCTAATATAATAATTATAACAATTATTGTGAAATGAAAACTAAAAAAAAATATTGTGAAATGAAAACTAAAGTTATGGAAGCATAACGGTTTTTGCATAGCAAACTCCATATTTATAGTGAGTTTTAAGAGTAATAGTAACACGTTGTTTTAGAGAATACCGCTCCATGACTTAAATAATAGTAATGTTTTTACATTACAGAAATCATATTTTCAAGGTTACACTTTACAAAAAATAGCAACATGGCGA